GCTCGATAATTTTTTCTCAATATGCGCGGTCAAACATATTGTGGTATGCAATATTCACAATACCTCAAAATGTTCGCGTGCATTCTCTGAAAAATTGAAAATTTTTCTTGGAGAAGATGACGGGAGAGATCTGAGCGCAGGCTAGAGAGGAAGAAGAAATGTGTTTTTACCTCCGTAACCACAATTTCAACTTTGCTCACTGTTAACGTTATTAGATCATTAACTCCGAACCAACTATCCATTTAACCCATCAAACTCGTTGGAGGCATTTCGTTTTTGACAGGTTATTTGGAAAATGTAACATTTGGGGGGGGGGAGGGAATACAAATACAACATCTTTTTTTTTTTTTTCAAAAGATAATCATATATTGATATTCCAGAAAAGATCATTACACCATCTGCCTCAACCAGGCTACAAAATCAAAATGACGATTCGCTATTGGGTACAAAAGAAGGGCCTTTTTAGCCACCAGATGGGCTACCCTGTTAATACGCCGACCAACGAACCGAACGCTAAACCCCGCGTCTTCAGCCAAGTAGAGCAACACTTCTCGAAAAATGGCTCCCGCCATACTATCACTCCCGTGAGCCAAACGAAGCCTATCCACCACCACCTTCGCATCCCCTTCAAAGCGAACAAAGCGACATCCTGAGTTCCGACACCAGACGATAGCCTCCCTGAGAGCCAACACCTCAACTAGCATAGGATCCTCAATATCCGGGAAACAAACCCCTTTCGCACTCAACACGACCCCATCCAAGCCCATCAGAACCATCCCCCCAGATGAATGTGACCCTCGCCGCACCGCCCCATCCCACCTACAAATGAGAGTCTCCTGATTATCCTGTGACCCTCCCCCCCCCGCGGGGACCCTCACCGGGGCAGGGCCCATAACCTCACAGGGAAGCGACTCCCATTCCCTCACTTGCTGATGATACTGCCAACAATTTTGGTCACACAAATTACTGCAACATGTCATATTTAGTCACTCTCCCATCAGTTTCCGTCCAACTCCAGTCACTCGAATTACTGATACATGTCACATTTAGTCACTCGAATGACTGAAACATGTCACATTTAGTCACTGTCCCGGTAGTTTCCGTCCAAATCCACTAATGGAGTTGGACGAAAACTGACGGGAGAGTGACAAAATGTGACCTATTCCAGTAATTCGAGTGACCAAAATTGATATTAAATTTTTCTAGTGACTAAACATGACATGATTTAGTAATCTCAGTGACCAAATATGGCATTTACCCATTAAAAAAATACAGGAGATGGGTTTTGTCCATGGGCTTACACTCCAAAGCTTCGGCCTTATTGGGCTATAATCCATAAGATGGGCCTAACTAAAAAACCAGACTATTTCCTCCATAATATCACTATATGCAACACAGCTCTTCATGGGTCATGACATGGAATTAGAGGTTGGCCATCGTTTGGTTCCCTAATTCCTCTGGTTTTGTTTTCCGGCGAGGAAAATCTGGTGTTTGAACACAATGAATGCACCTTTTACTTCTTGAACAACGATAATTACCACGGTCCACTCCTCTCCGAACAATGTTCGAACGAGGGTGTTTGATATTTTTGATGGTTTTTTGGGAACAAAGCTAAGTTAATTACACCTACTCCTATTGAGGTTCAGTGAGAGCTCCGAAAACTAAGGCTATAGCTAATTTGCAGAGAAAGGGATAAAGTTTGACATAGTGTGTCAAATGGACGGTTGTGGAACCCTTTTCCCGTTTTCGTTTCTCCTATTTATAGCCATCGTGTGTAACTGCCTCGGTAACCACCATAGTAACTGCTGGCTGGCCTCTTGCTCCAAACAACCTCGGGGTCCCTTGTCGCCGCCTTGGTGACTAGTTGGTAACCGTCGCCTTGGGGCCCCTTGTCCTGTCATGGGGCTGGTGGTTACTTGATGGTCTCGATGCCGGACCAGGTTGGTGTTGAGCCTCTTTGCCATATCCTCCATGATGAAGCCTTGATCACATCCTTGACAGCCCTGACGACTCCACGCTCCTCATCTTGCTAGCCACCTCGAGGAACCGTCTTGATAGCTAGGCCATATTAATCACCTAAACATGATGAGAACTTGACCCCTTTACCCCCAAGTCTCCACACTTAGTCTTAGAGAGACTGTCATTGCACCAACCTGTCATATTGATATCAAGCCAATCTTGTCGGCTTGATACCCTTGCTCCAAGCCAGCCTTGCCGGTTTGGTCTCCATACTTAGCTTTTTTAATCTTATCAAATTGGTACCTTGTACCCTGCCGGCTTGATACCCCGTTAGGGGGCCACCAAGCCCATCTTGGGACTTAGTTTCCATATGACCCCATAAGGGGCTCTACGAGGCTATCAAGTCTGTCTTGTCATCTTGATATCCAGACTTAGTTTCTGTATGACTCTCTTAGTTGGTACATGACTTGGCCCACTGTTGCCTGGCCACCAAGTCAGTCTTGCGGGCTTGATACCCCCCTGTTGCCTTGCTTGACTACCAAGCCTGTCTTGCCGGCTTGGTACCGAGGTTGCCTTGCCGGCCTAGTACCCCCTTAGCTCCACACTTAGCCAAATCTTTTCGTATATTTGGGGATCAGACGTGCCTTGCCGCCTTGGTACTCCCTTGGCTCCATACTTAGCCAATTTTCATGTCTTTTGGTATCAAATATTCCTTGTCTGCTTGCCCCCTGTTGCTATGAATGGTATGACACCCTGTCATATGGCCCCCTCATTTGGTACCTGGCTTGGTACCCGGTCGTTTGGCACCGCGTTGTGCCACCTTGTTTCCAGACTTAGTTTATGAATGGCCCCCTTTTTGGTACTCGCCTTGGTACCCAGTCGTTGGGCACCCCGCTGTGCCGCCTTGTTTCCAGACTTAGTTTTTGTATGGCCTCCTATTTGGTATCCGGCTTGGTACACGGTCGTTTGGCACCCCATTGTGCCCGCCTTGTTTCCATACATAGTTTTTGGGAGACAAATTTCATACCAAAGGGTGGAGGCATCGTCCGGCTATGGGGGACACGGAGAATTATGCACTAAGTTAATTTATAAATCCATTAAATCTCTTGTAATTAATTGATGTGGTACAAGCTGACTTTTTTTATGGGTAAACAAATGCCCCCCACAACTTAGTGTATAAGAATTATGCACTAAGTTGTTAAAACCAACTATACCTCTCAAAACCTTGCAAACCCGACGTGGCCTTATCAAAAGCCAAATATCACAAGTTCTACTTCCACCCAACTATTGTCACGCAAGGTTTGGGAAGGATTTTTATTATTTCCTTTTTGTTATTCGGCCAAGTAGCCAAACATATGTGTACTATTCGTTCTATGTGGCCAGGTAGGTTTAGTAATTGGAGGGGACGAGAAGAGGGGCTCTTGGCCACCTGCAAAATTCTTCTAAGTTCATGAATGCACGCGGTAGCTACAATGCCGCCTTCCCATTTATAATTTTTTTTATTAATACAGTGTGATACCAATTTACTTGGCTTCACTGCTTCTATTATCAATACCTTCTATACCGACATACCCTTAGTGTCATTTGCTACTCAAACCATGTTCCATCTTGAGGGTATCATGCCATGCCTTAGTAAGTGGACGGCTTGGCATGCCGGCCACCATGATGGCCTACAAACATTGAACCCCTTGACACCCCACGTCCCAAAGAGAAGGGACATAAGGCTTGAGATACTTGTTATTGATCAATCGATCATGTAGCATTTCATCATCTTTCAACAATTAGGGCTCATTGGACGGGTGACCTGGACAATAACTGGTCTACACCAACACCCAATCACATGCTCATGCCATGTAAGTGCATGGATCCAACTAGCACATCGTTGTGGCTTATCAGTCATGACCAGGTACTCGCATCACAAACCTCACTAAAACTTGTCACTTTGACCTCATATATTTTAGCCATTATTGGCTTATGATTTCTTTTTTTGTTTTAACTTATATTTTATCTTTACTTTATTTATTTATTTATTTATTTTAATATAGCAAAGAGTGACATGCATCACTGTTCTCCATACCCTTTGGCCACCACAAACGTGCCAAAGGTGTATACCCACTGCCAAGTCTATGGATTAAACCAGACAAGCCATTCATACACTACTTGTCTTCCCTCCGTAAGGGGAGATGACTCCTTTGGTGTTGGTTTCGAATTGTCCAACTTAACAACGGATGGTACCCGATTGACTTGTCTTGTCTTGGTGGGCTTGCAAGGGGTCTCATGGTTGTAAGCTTGAGGCACCTTACTAGACTTTTAAGGTTATGTTGCCCCCGATGTGCTTGCCTCGTCCCGGGTGGTATACTAGATATTTTCAACTCCTTCGACTCATCAAAGGGGCCAAGAGTTGTCATTTGTCTTAGTTTTCCCCAACTTGGCACATGCTTACTCTTCCCATATGACTGAGAAGATGGGTGTTTGGACTTACAGAGTTGACGACCACCCTTGTGGCCAACTTGACTATTTCCCATGGTTTAGGAAACCGTACCGGACGTCATACCAAATTCATATCTGGTATGATATTTTGTGGTACGACCGTAGTTCAATCGTTTCATATCGGTAAATACCGTTTTTGTAATAGTAAAATACTTTTTTGTAAAAAAAACCGTACCGGCGAAAACATGATACCGTTCCAGAGTAAAACCGGAATAATATCGAAAAATACCAGATAGAAAATAATAAAATATTAACATAAAAATTATAGGTATATAATGGAATAACTTAATATTACAGGGACTAAACACATAGAATAATTTCAGTTATCATGCAATAATTTTCCAATCCATCTAGAAAACTCTTTGTCTACTCTATTGTCTATTCACATTCCAATTTCCATTTTCAGTACTGTCTCTCCACTCTCTCTCTCTCCATTTTACAAATTCCAATCTGCTTCTCTCTTGAAACAATACTTTCCTTACGATCAAAAAACTAAGAAGGCAGAGAGGGAGGGTAGAGTCTTGGCGACGTGAAGGAGATCGGAGGGAATAATGGCAGTCAGCGGAGAGGGGACTACAATTTATTTGAGATGGCAACCGCCTCCGCCAACGGGGAAAACCTCCGCCAACGAGCGCGTTGGAGACTCGGCGGCGTTCTCAAGCTCGTCCTTTTTGCCGGTCGTCGGAGATAGGGATGAGTTGGGGAAGATGAAGGGCGGTTCGCGATCGAAGAGAAGAGAGGAGGGAGACTCGACGGCGTTCTCGAGCTGGAGAAGGCGAAGGACAACGGCGTTCTTGAGCATTCGAGCTCATCCTTCTCGTCGTTCGCTAGCGGCAACAGTGAGCTAGAGAAGAGGAGCGGCGGGGTGAATCTGGAGAAGAGAAGTGGAGCGGTCTATTAAGGATTGGGGTTTGGCTTTCAGAGTTCGAAGCTTTTTTTTAAATAGTTTTGTTGCACAATACGGAGACGTTCAGTTTCAAATAGCCTACCGCCAGTAGAAACAAAACCGAACGATATTTCCTTTCGGACCGGTTAAACCAAAAAAACTGGGCGGTATGATAATTCAGCCACTAAATGGCTACCGTTTCTTTTCTTGTCCGATTTTCGGTTTTTCCGGTCGAAATGACCAGTACGATCCGGTTTCCTGGTCCATGCTATTTCCAAACCCCATGTCTTCTCGGCTTTCAAACTTAACACATAACCACCCTTTGTTCTCTTTAGGATCATGCCTAGTTGGTACCTGTGGGGATGTCTTATTCATGTCCCCTTGTCTGCCATTCATGTTTGGCATACCATGAGGGCTGTTAGGCATGAACTTGTCTCCTTGGCCAGTCCTTGACACGCTCTCATAGTTAGGAAACATGTGGGTCGCTTGATTATTTTCCACACTTCTAGTCTTGCCCTCCACTCGTTTCTTTACATTCGATGACATGCCCTCATATCCAGTACATGTGGTTGGAGACATGCCCCCCTTAGCCACCCTAACATTCTTACTAGCAGCACATTTGGCCTGGGGTTGTAGTGACTTCTTGGACACAATTGTTAACCCACTGCTTGTGGTTGATGACATGCCCCCATGCCATCATTAGACAACAAATATGGTGTTCTGTTGGGCACACCCTTTTGTTCACTTTCCTTGGCATCAACTTGCCCCCCAGCCTGACACTTCGCCTTTAGCTTACAAGGTGGTAAGCTTCCATGCCCTTTTTGTTGCCTCCATGGTGGTTTGCATCCACCATACCCATTAAGTAAGGGTGGCAATGAGGGTGGGCAAGTTTCTGGTAGTATTTCACCAAAATTGGTTGGATCTCTACTAGCCTTCCCAATACGAGGTGTCATACATGATCTAGACACCAAGACATTATTTTTTGTAACCACGTGCAAAAGCGGTTGCTCGACGTGGGTGCTGAATGTGGGGGAAACTTCTCGCCACAATCGCCACGTTGAAGAGGTCGTTGGCTTATTACCGGTGGAGACAAGTTCACTAGTCGTGTCTGGCTATTCCAACCACCACAAAATAGAAGATTTCTATCAACAGTATAAATGCTTGGTGGTGGATCTATAATATTTTTTTGAATAGAAATTTCTTGCACCACTGATTCTATAAAATCTTTTTTTAACTTATCCAAGCAATTTTTATTTCTTATAACTTCTTCAAATAATTGATCAAAACATCTATCTAAAGTAGAACTAAGAGAAGCAAGTGTGAGACTTGTCTGATGTGAACATCTAACAAGTTCACTCCAACTCTCATCCATGAATTGGCGGTTCTCCGCCGCCATTTGGTGATTCTCCTCCATGGCTTGATGATTTTCCTCCATGGCTTGACGAAGGAACAACACTGCCTCACCAAGATCTACCCTCAACGCCGACGTGGGTGGCACCTCCACTCCGACAAGGTTGCCTGAAGCTCCTCCGACTTGGCCTGCTTCACCGCCAGCCATTTGCTCCTCTTCCACGGAACCCTGTGGCAGATCACCTTGTTAATTCTTTCGCCTAGGAGCCATCAAATCAAACACACGATTGTCCCTCCAGGTGTGCCAATTTGTTTTCCGGCGAGGAAAATCTGGTGTTTGAACATAATGAATGCACCATTGACTTCTTGAACAACGATAATTACCAAGGTCCTCTCCTCTCCGAACAATGTTGGAGCGAGGGTGTTCGATGTTTTTTATGGTTTATTGAGAACAAAGCTAAGTCAATTACACCTACTCCTATGGAGGTTCAGTGAGAGCTCCAAAAACTAAGGCTATAGCTAATTTGTAGAGAAAAGGATAAAGTTTGACCTAGTGTGTCAAATGGTTGGTTGTGGAACCCTTTTCCCGTCTTTGTTTCTTCTATTTATAGCCATCGGGTGTAACTGTCTTGGTAACCGCCATAGTAACTGTTGGCTGGCCTCTTGCTCCAAATCGCCTCGGGGTCCCTTGTCGCTGTGTGACTAGTTGGTAACCGTCGCCTTGGGGCCCCTTGTCCTGTCATGGGGATGGTGGTTACTTGATGGTCTTGATGCCGGACCGGGTTGGTGTTGAGCCTCTTTGCTTTATCCTCCATGATGAAGTCTTGATCATATCCTTGACAGCCCTATGACTCCAAGCTCCTCATCTTGCTAGTCACCTCGATGAACCGTCTTGATAACTAGGCCATATTAATCACCTAGACAGGATGAGAACTTGACCCTTTTACCCCCAAGTCTCCACACTTAGTCTTAGAGAGACTGTCATTGCACCAACCTGTCATATTGATATCAAGCCAATCTTGTCGGCTTGGTCTCCATACTTAGATTTTTTTAATCTTATCAAGTTGGTACCTTGCACCCTGCCGCCATGATACCCCGTTATCTACGAGTCCTCATCATATTGACATCCTGGTTGATCCATCCATGGTTGTTTGATACCTAGTTGGGTGGCCACCTTAGCTAGGGGTTTGGCCATTTAGGCCCAAAAGCGCAACCCAACAAGGCCTAACTAACTCTTTTAATTATTAGTGTTGAGCTGGCCTTATAAATCCATTAAATCTCTTATAATTAATCGATGTGGTACAAGCTGATTTTTTTAATTATAAGTAAACAGGTTCTTCAAAATAAAATTTTACAAGTCAAATTATGGGCTTTAAATAGCATCACAACTATCAAGATACTCCGAACAACATCATTGAACAAACAAACCAAACCACAGTAACATGATACTCGAACACTAAACACTGGTACAACTGATCATGATATTTCAAACAAAACCATAAAAACAAAAAAAAGCCTCTGAATAACATTACCAAACAATAGTTCCGAACAACATCATCACATCTACATGCTTCAAACAACACCGTGACAACAAAATGAGACAAACCGTCGAAGACAAGCTTGTCAAATACCAACTACAAAAAATCATGTCCAATCATATAACACTATAAGTGTTTTCCTGGCGAGAAAAATAAAGATGAACAGAATTGGATTTGCACCTTTGACTTCCAAACAAACGATTAACAAACACGGTCCACACCTCTTTGAACAAAGTTCAAACAAGGGTGTTCGATGTTCTTGATGATCTACGAGGCAAACTAAATTACATTAACTCTACTCCTATGGAGGTTCAGTGAGAGCTCCGAAACTACAACTATGTTATGACTACATTTGCAAAGGAAAAGGTAAAGATAAAAGTATAAAATTTGACATTGTGTTGTCTGGTGTGATTTTGGCGAACCCTTTCTCCATCATCTTCACCTCCTATTTATAGCCACCAGAAGTAACTGCCCCAAGAAACTACTCTGGTGACTAGGAGTGGTGGTTACCCTCTCAACTGCTTCGACGGTTACCTTAACGTTGGATGTTAGAATATGACTTGAATTTGATTTGTGTTTGTTTTGTGTTTTGGGCCTATTTTGTTTGGGTTTGGGATTGGGCTTTGTTTGACCTTTTACTTATATGTTTGGGAAAAGGTGTTTGGTTTTCTGTTTGGGATTAGGAGAAGAGTTCTATAAATACTCTTCATCACCCTAGTCTGTAGTAAGGTCAGTCAGGTTAGTTTGTTTGGTTTGTCCGTTTGGAATTTGGTTTGTAACCTGTACTCTCCTCAAAATCAGTGAAATTTGTTCTCCCCTGCTCGTGGATTAGCTAGCACACACTGTGTTAGTGAACCACGTTAAATTTGTGTTCGTTCGTGTTGGTCTGGATTATCGATTGCACGCTTCCGTTCTGACAAGTGGTATCAGAGCCTTTGGTTGCGGTTTTGGGAATTTGGCGTTGGACTGAAGTTTTGCTTTGTGGAGTTTGGTTTGAGTTTGTTTGATAGTAAGAATGGTTGCTATCAGTATGAAGATTGAGAAGTTTACTGGAAGAAACAGTTTCAGTTTGTGGCAGATCAAGATGCAAGCACTGTTGAAACAACAAGGTTTGTGGGCTCCATTGTCTGGAAAATCAAAGAAGGAAAGCATAGATGAAGAAGAGTGGATTAGTTTGGAGGAGAAAGCTCACTCTACAATCTTGCTTTGTTTGGCTGATGACATCATCACTGAGGTTGCTGCTGAGAAGACTGTTGCGGGTTTGTGGTTGAAGCTTGAAACTCTATATATGACAAAGTCTTTAACCAACAAGTTGCATATGAATCAACGTTTGTTTAGTTTGCGTATGGAGGAAGGTATGTCTCTCAGGAATCATCTAGATCAACTCAATACCATCTTGCTAGATCTGCGGAATATTGATGTTAAAATAGATGATGAGGATGCTGCCTTAATTCTGTTAGTATCTTTGCCACAGTCATATGAGAATTTTGTGGATTTTTTTATTGCTGGGAAAGATAGTTTGTCTTTGGAAGATGTTAGATCTGCTCTACATACTAGAGAGGTTCGCCATAAGGCATCTGGTTCAGGTTCGAAAAATCAGGCATATGGGTTGGCTACTACTAGTAGTAGGAGACAACAATCTGGTAATAGGAAGGCGAATACAAATTCGAATTCTGCTGGTTTGAAAGATGATATATGTCATTACTGCAAGGAGAAAGGACATTGGAAATTTGATTGTCCTAAACTGAAGAAATATCAGGAGAAGAAGGAATCATCTGCTGCTATGGCGGAAGAAACTAACTCTGATTCTGAAGATGGTTTAGCCTTAGCAGTGAATGAACAGGTACATCATCAGGATGTGTGGTATTTGGATACTGCAGCTGATTATCATATGTGTCCAAGCAGAGAGTGCTTTTCAACTTATGAGCAGATAGATGGAGGACATGTTTCTATGGCCAATGGTGCTATCTGTAAGATTGTTGGAAGAGGCTCCGTCAGGATGAGGACACATGATGGTTTTGTTCACACCTTGAACAATGTTAGACATATTCCAGAGATGACTAAAAATCTGATATCTTTGAGTCTACTCGACAGCAAGGATTTCAGTTTCAAAGGTGAAGGTGGAGTGTTGTCTATCTACAAGGGTTCTAAGGTGATTTTGAAAGGTGTCAAGCGGGGTGCCTTGTATAGTCTACAAGGTTCTGTTTTGACATGTTCTGTTGGTGATAAGTGCAGCAAGTTGGTTCTGAATGGCAAGTCTCAATATGGATTGGACTTGCCGAATGGTTTGAGTTGTTGACCGCCCTTAGGGGCATTTGGAGGCAGGGGAGGTTCTGGCAAATTCGGAGATTTGAAGAGTTTGGTGTCTGAAACTTTTGGTTGCATTTGAGTTTGGCGGTTTCAATCGCATCTGGGTAAATTTGGCGATATGTATCGCGTCTGGGTAAATCTGGCAACTTTGGTTGCGTTTGGTACATCTGGCAACTTTGGTTGTGTCCGGTACATCTAGTATTTGAGAGAGAATTCAAGTCAAGGTGGAGATTGTTAGAATATGACTTGAATTTGATTTGTGTTTGTTTTGTGTTTTGGGCCTATTTTGTTTGGTTTTGGGATTGGGCTTTGTTTGACCTTTTCCTTATATGTTTGGGAAAAGGTGTTTGGTTTTCTGTTTGGGATTAGGAGAAGAGTTCTATAAATACTCTTCATCACCCTAGTCTGTAGTAAGGTCAGTCAGGTTAGTTTGTTTGGTTTGTCCGTTTGGAATTTGGTTTGTAACCTGTACTCTCCTCAAAATCAGTGAAATTTGCTCTCCCCTGCTCGTGGATTAGCAAGCACACATTGTGTTAGTGAACCACGTTAAATTTGTGTTCGTTCATGTTGGTCTGGATTATCGATTGCACGCTTCTGTTCTGACATTGGATGTAGACCAATCTTGGCCTCTCCTCTTGAGACTTCACTCCATGCTCTTGGTATCCCCTCCGTAGCTTTGCTTGTCTATAGAGAAAAAATGGCTAAGGCATGAAAGCAGACCACATGCCACATATGTGTGGGTACTCGAATCACTTGAGTCAAAAATGGAAGAATTACTTGAGTAAAAAATGGCACAAATACTTCACCATTACAGGAGTAGGGAGACCACGTGCTCACCTGACCCCCCTTGACCAAATCACGAGGGTGATGTCTTGGTAGCCATACCATGGGGGCGTATGCTGGTGACTCCCTGACCATACCACAGGGGGTGGATATTAATCACCGCCATGATCATATCATGGGGATTGCATGCTCATGGCGGGGTGTGTTGATGGCCACCCCCTGATCATCTCATGGAGGGTTCTCCTTGCCATCCTTTGTGATCACCCTCGTGTCATATCCTGTATGAGGATCACCCCCTGATCATACCATGGGGTCCCATCCTTTTCCATTCTTAATCGTATTTCACTTCTTAATCGTATTTCACACCGCATGGGGGGTTGGTAATATGACCCCCTCACTATGTCCTGAGTCACCCCCTTACCATGTCATGGAGGTGGCAATATGGTACCCACCCCCTTGGTACCTCCTAGGGGTGGCAGCATGATGCCTACCCCCCTTACCACGTCCTGGGGGTGGTATGATGGTGGCCACCCCCCTTAGTACCTCATGGGGGTGGTTATTCTTCTCTTTGCCTTATCCGAATTCTGCCATCACCCCCCTCACCATGTTATGGGGGGGTGGTTATTCTTCTCTTTGCCTTAGCCAAATTCTGCCATCACCCCCTTCACCATGTTATGGGGGTGCCTTTGTACATCCTGGGGGTGGCAGTATGATGCCCACCCCCTTGCCACGTCCTGAGGGTGGTATGATGGTGGCCACCCCCCTTGGTACCTCCTGGGGGTGGCTACCATACTGCTTGCCTTAGCCAAATTCGGCCATCATCCCTCCTTACCATGTGATGGGGGTGGCGGTATGATGTCCACCCTCCTTGCCACGTCCTGGGGGTGGTATGATGGTGGCCACCCCCCTTGGTACCTCCTGGGGTCCCTTGGTACTTCCACCCCCTTGCCACCACGTCCTGGGGGTGGTGGTATGATGCCCACCCCCCTCTGCGTGTCATGGGGGTGGCTCCCATACTTAGTCAAATTTGGATATGCATGGCGCACGTGGTGGCACGGAGTAATGGGCCCAAAAACCCAATCCTCATGGCCCACTCAACTGATTTAAACTGATATGATTAAGTTGGCCTTATAAAGCCATTTAATTCCTTGTTTTTAACCGATGTGGTACAAGATTAATTTTTATGGGTAAACAAATGCCCCCCAACTACTTAGTGCATAAGAATTATGGACTAAGTATTTTCACACTAACTAGGCCATCAAACTTAAATAGTTGGCCTTACAGTTTAAATGACCAAAACAATCCCAATTTCTTCTCCTTTGCTGCCGTGTGGGAGGAAGGAAGGGAGTCAAACATAATTATTCCATAGTCCTTCCATCTCGACACAACCGTGCTCCCCATGCCACTGTGACCATCAACAGTTATGGTCACTCTTAAATCACACGGCGTGGTATCGTTTGAAGTTTTTGGGCTAGAACAACATCATGCCTCCCTAGTTAATCCAAACTACTACTAATCATACCCCATGCCATTCACCATCACCTCCATGTCTTGTCATGGGGTATATAGTTCACACCTTACAAAATTTTAAAGTTTGGCATGGTTAGGCCACCTTAATGGCCTAGCAATACGAGTAATGATTGAGACTTACCAGTCGTGGCGAGATTCTCACATCAAAACCTACTAACTTTTTCTGAAACTTGCCACTTTGGGATTTTAAATATATATATAGCCATGATTGGCTTTTCTATATTAATTAATATTTTTTTTTACTTTTTTATTGTATATAATAAGTAGTTACAAGCATCATTGATCTCCATACCCTTTGGCAATAACCAAAGTGCCAAAGGTATACATCCACTGCCAAATCCATGTATTAAACCAAACAAGCCAACCATACACCATATGGTCGTGGTTGTTCAAAGGAGATGATCCTTCACAAGCTGACTTTGAATCACCCCCTACACCATTTTTTCCCTTCTGACCCTTACCATCACTTTGGACTTGGGCATGCTTGCCCTGGTCAGACACTATCACTTTGGAACCCGTGGTCATAGAGTTGTCCACCTCAATACTAGCATGACCATCCTCATTTTGTTGTGTTGGTCTCACCATCTCACCAGGTACTACTGGGTATTGCCCCTTTCGTGCTTTGGCATTTTTACGTAGGAATCTCCTCCTTTGAGTCTTTGTCATCCGCCCAATAGCTACTGGTTGACTATGCATATCATAAGTATGCCCCACTCCTTGTGGCACATTGGGCATCTTAGAAGTCCTTCTCATGGGAAGAGGGTCATGTGCCACCCATTGCCTTCTTTGCCCCCATGTCGGTTGAATTACCCCCTCTACTTATCTTTGATAGGATGGGTATCTCGGCCTATGGGGTGGACCAATTCTTTGTTGGACTGGTCGATTCGGTCTCACCTCATCAAGTCTAGAACTCTTTTTGCATTGGGCACATAGCTTCTCCACCTCACTTGACACCTTAGAAGCGGCCGAGTTGGCCTGCATACCCTTCGATGACTCTCCCTGCTCGAACACCATGGTGGGGGTCCCTTGTTGCGGTGTTGTATCCAACACCAACTTGAAACGGGGGAGCTCAATTTTTGAGAAGTCTGGGTTAACCATGTTGACACCAAGCAAATTCAAAAATGGGTTGGTATCCACCAGCATGGCATCTTTCTTTGGCTCGGGGAGCTTGATGCGACCCTTCTCAATGGCATCCTGCAATATATTGCAAAAAACCACACATGAGTTTGTGGAGTGTAGCATGTTGTTATGCCACTTACAATATGTTTTCCCTCTTAACTTCTCAGGGGGTGGGATGTTATGCCCCCCTGTCAACTTGATTTGGCCATCCTTGTAGAGTTGGTCAAAAATCAAGTCAGCCTTGGAGATATCGAAGGAATACCTCCGTGGCTGGATAGGGGCACGATTTGGTCTACCCCTTTGTGGTTCATTGTCCATCTTAGCCAAAGGAGCACATACATATGGCTTCCCTGGAGTTAACTCAGCCAGGTCTACCTCCACCTCATTGGCCTCTTGGCCAATATGGTTAACAGGGTAGCCGATGTTGGGGAAGTATTGCCCCCTTGAGGCACTCCTCCTATTCTCCTCTTCTTTAAGAAGAGATTCATATCTCACCGCACAAGACATGAGTTGGAACAAGTCAGAGAATTCTCTATCTTGGAATTTCTTCCTTAACTCAAAACTCAACCCCTCTTGTGCTAACTTGACAAACTCTCTCTCTGTCAAGTTGACAAAACAACGGTTACGAGCATTCTTGAAGTTTGTCAAGAAGTGCTCCACCGACTCCCCTGGCTCTTGGCGCATTCGCGCCAAATCAGCCATGGAAACCTCACGCTCAGATCTATAGAACTGAGCATGGAAGATTTGCTCCATCTGCTGCCATGTTTGGATGGAGTTGGATGGCAAGTTGACATACCAAGCAAAAGCAGGTCCTGTCAATGAGTTTCCAAATACTCTTAACTTAATAAAATCTCCTACATCCCCACACTGGACAATAAACCGTCCAATGTGCTCCACAGTAGATTGGTCCCCTGTCCCAGTGAATGTGACAAACTCGGACACTCTAAACCCCCTTGGGAATGGGTAGAGTCTATCCACCCACTCAGTGTATGGTTTTCGATAAACAGGTGGCATGGTGGGTCTCACTCCCATTCCAAATTGCTCGGCAAGAAATGGGGTGGCATGGGTGTTGGGTATGCTCTGGGAGGAACTTGATCTCCCCCACCTAAGCCTACTCCCCCTCCCATGTGAGCAGGCACCGTATAGGGCCTTGCCACTGGTATGGGTATGGGTGGCGGTTCCGCTGGAGCAGAATGTGTAACTCCCAAATTCTCACCACGTGGGGGAATTTCTCCAACTCCCACATTGGGTATCCCTTCCACTTGAGAAGTTGCAGGAATCTCGCCGCGATTCATGCGGTGAGGAGTTGGTTGGTTTGTCATCGGCGGAAAGAGGTTATCTTGCCGTGGCTGACCATTTCCGCCGCCGACGGGAGATGAACTAGAATTTACAGAATTGTTAATGGGATTTGGATTCCCGCCATCTAATGGCAGAGCTCTAGATTGGATTATTGGTGTGGTTAAAAACCTTCTGAACTCATCAAAATCACTTTTATTCTTATTAACCACTTCAAATAATTGACTTAGACGTCTATCAACTCTAGAATTAAGACAGTCCATTTGAGAATTTACTTGATGAGAAGCAGCTCTAGCCTCCTCCATCATGCGACGGTTCTCCACCATCATTTGGCGGTTCTCCTCTGTGGCTTGACGGTTCTCTGCCACCAGCTTGCGGTTCTCCTCCATCATTTGACGAAGGACCCCCACTGCTTCACCAATATCTCCACTAGGCGTCGCCGTTAGTAGGATCTCCGCCCCACCATTGTTTCCGGCCACCGCCTCTGACACTTGGCCATGTTCAATGTTGGCCACTTGCTCCTCCACAAAACCAGCCGGAGCGTCACCTTCCTGATTCCTCCGCCTCGGAGCCATCAAATCGAACACACGGGTCCCACCAAGTGTGCCAATTTGTTTTCCCGGCGAGAAAAATAAAGATGAACATAATTGGATTTTCACCTTTGACTTCCAAACAAACGATTAACAAACACGGTCCACACCTCTTTGAACAAAGTTCAAACAAGGGTGTTCGATGTTCTTGATGATCTACGAGGCAAACTAAATTACATTAACTCTACTCCTATGGAGGTTCAGTGAGAGCTCCGAAACTACAACTATGGTTATGACTACATTTGCAAAGGAAAAGGTAAAGATAAAAGGATAAAATTTGACATTGTGTTGTCTGGTGTGATTTTGGCGAACCCTTTCTCCGTCATCTTCACCTCCTATTTATAGCCACCAGAAGTAACTGCCCCAAGAAACTGCGCTGGTGACTAGGAGTGGCGGTTACCCTCTCAACTGCTTCGACGGTTACCTTAACGTTGGATGTAGACCAATCTTGGCCTCTCCTCTTGAGACTTCACTCCATGACTTCACCATTACAGGAGTAGGGAGACCACGTGCCCACCTGACCCTCCTTGACCAGATCACGAGGGTGATGTCTTGGTAGCCCCCCCTTGCAACCTCATGGGGGCGATGTTGACCACGCCCCTTGGCCATACCATGGGGGTTGGTAATATGACCCCCTCACTACGTCCTGAGTCACCCCCTTACCACGTCCTGGGGGTGGTACCCCCCTTGGTACCTCATGGGGGTGGTTATTTTTCTCTTTGCCTTAGCCAAATTCTGCCATCACCCCCCTCACCATGTTATGGGGGTGCCTTTGTACCTCCTGGGGGTGGCAGTATGATGCCCACCCCCTTACCACGTCCTAGGGGTGGTATGATGGTGGCCACCCCCCTTGCCACGTCCTGAGGGTGGTATGATGGTGGCCACCCCCCTTGGTACCTCCTGGGGGTGGCTACCATACTCCTTGCCTTAGCCAAATTCGGCCATCATCCCTCCTTACCATGTCATGGGGGTGGCGGCCATGCCCACACCCCTCTGCGTGTCATGGGGGTGACTCCCATACTTAGTCAAATTTGGATATGCATTGCGCGCGTGGTGGCACGGAGTAATGGGCCCAAAAACCCAATCCTCATGGCCCACTCAACTGATTTAAACTTATATGATTAAGTTGGCCTTATAAAGCCATTTAATTCCTTGTTTTTAACCGATGTGGTACAAGGTTAATTTTTATGGGTAAACAATAAGACTATTTGTACGACCTGTACTCTAATACGTGTAGCTGTTATCACTCACACTCACTCATCAAGCTGCTATGAATAATACAGACTTAGCGTTGCTGTATTTTGGCATTTGTGTAGCAATGTCATAAACCAGTCTTTTTGTTTTTGTCTTTTTCTCCTTCTCTAACCTCCATGCTCTCAATCCAAAATTGTCAGCAAGCAAAAGTCCTATCTATTTGCAAGTCGGCTTAATTGCAAGTTTGGTCACTCGAATTGCTATAAAATTTCACGTTTGCCACTCAAATTAATTTATTTCATTTATAGTCACTCGAATTAGTTGAACAGTTCAAGTTCGGTCACTCTCCGTTAACCTCCGTTAACTTTGACTGACGTGGCGGTCAACTCTGACAGTTGACCGTTAAATGTGTGACGTGGCAAATAAAAAATAATTAAAAATTAAATTTTTAGAAATTACACATCATTATCACAAAAAATTATAATTATAAAAAATGAATGAATTTACCAGAACCAGGATGCATTTTTGTTTTTTGGTAACGACTGCGTTGAGGATTGGCCAATGGGTAACCATGGTGGCTGAAGAAGCTAAGTTCGAGATGCTCTACAAGTTGCAGTCAATTTAGATTGGAATATATCAACGAAGCCGGCCGGCAGCAATTATCTGGCCATAAAATGAGAGGGGTTGAAGTTTAGGCACCCGCTTCGATCGTTTTAGTTGGGTCAAGAATTCAAGGAAGTGAATAGCAAAGGAGGGGCAGTGGAAATTAAGAGAAAGCGAGTAGAAACTAGAAAGTAGATATATGTAGATTGAGTGGCGGTGGTGGAGATGCAGCAGATAGATATTAAGGGATGGTGCAAGGCAAGCAATAGTTTAGACTTTAGACTTTAGGAAGGGAATTAGAGGCTAAGATGTTGTGCGGGGATGATAATAATAACAATGATAAATTTAAAAAAATGTTCTTCCAATTCCAAGAATTAACTAAATAAATATAACGTTTTCATTCAGCGGCGGACGATCACGAGGTTCAGCGGCAGGAGGCGTGAGGGTTTCAGGCGATCGGATGGTTGACGTCCGTTCCCACCCTGACGCAGGCGCTCCCCTCATTCGGATACGAACAAACTTCACCGCAGATCTGAACGAACTCGGATCGCGGCATCCAATGCCTTCCCGTGTCCCTCAGCTTCGATTTGACCATCTCCAATCGCGCCACACGCAGCAGCTTTCTCGCGTCATCGACAGTCAGCCCATCTGCCGCCGTCGTGGTCTTCGCCGGCGACTCCGATTCCGACTCCTCAACCACCGGCGGAGGAGGGACGAGCCCGTCCAATCGGTCCCGGTCTCGGACAATGTCGAACGCCCTGAGCTTCTCCATCAGGCTGCCCCCCGCGCTGACCTGGAACGGCTTCGGCGACGGACCCTCCACCGTCGCCGCGGCCCTTCGGAACAAGCGGCGGAATCCGGTATTGTCTCTGGGATCGGTAGCAATGTCGGGCTTGCTCTGAGGTATCCGGCGGAGGACAGTGGCGGAGGACGAGATCCGGCAGTTGGTGAGCGACTGGGTGGTCGAGATTCATTTTTAGAAATTACACATTCATTTTTTATAATTATAATTTTTTGTGATAATGATGTGTAATTTCTAAAAATTTAATTTTTAATTATTTTTTATTTACCACGTTACGCATTTAACGGTCAACTGTCAGAGTTGACCGCCACGTCAGTCAAAGTTAACGTAGGTTAACGGAGAGTGACCGAACTTGAACTGTTCAACTAATTCGAGTGACTATAAATGGAATAAATTAATTTGAGTGGCAAACGTGAAATTTTGTAGCAATTCGAGTGACCAAACTTGCAATTAAGCCTTTGCAAGCCACATGTTCCTGTTTTTGCAGTAACCTCTCTATCCAATCCAATGACACACACTTCCAACTGGACAAACCACCAACAGCTACCATTTATAATTAAATAAAAAATTCTAGGGTGGTTTGAAAGTTTGCCATTTATGCATTGTGATGAATACTATATTAATGAATTTGGTGTATTGTAAAGCACACATTTTTTGTATGTGTAATTGTAATTTTAAGTGGTGAATGAAACATGAATTCAATAATTACAACTAAAAGCTGATTTAGTTAAATCATGCAATTTGAACAATAATTTATACCAAATTAATTCATAAATTGTATATTAATAAATATATTCTAAAAAGTTATGTATTTTAGCCATTCAAGAAACAATAACAATTTTCCAACACATATGGTTGTTTTCTAAAAATTATTGTTCAGAATTACACAGGTAGGTAAATAGTACATACATATAGAAAAATCAAAATCGATATCTCCAATCTGGAAAAATAATAATTTAATCGAAAAGATAAAGTAACGGGAAAAAACTGAAAAAAGGACAGAGGGAGCGATGGTGGAGAAAGAAGCGGGAGAAGCCACCACCGCCGCCGCTTCCTCCATGAGCTTCGACCTCCCGGAGGAAGTATTGCAGGTGCTTCCGTCGGATCCATTCGAGCAGCTCGACGTCGCCCGCAAAATCACCTCCATCGCCCTCGGCACCCGCGTCTCCTCCCTCGAGGCCGAATCCGCTTCCCTCCGCGACCAGCTCGCCGACCGGGAAAATCTCATCTCCGACCTCTACTCTCAGATTGAATCTCTCGACGCCGCCCTTTCCGCCGCCTCCGACAAGCTCTCCGTCGCCGACCAAGAAAAGGTCCTTTGATTTCCTCTCCCCTTGCCTTGCCCCGCTTGAATTTTCTTTTTAATTTTTTTTTTTTTTTTGGATTTTGAACAGGATAACTTGTTGAGAGAGAATGCTTCGCTCTCCAGCACTGTCAAGAAGCTCCAGCGCAATGTTGCCAAGGTTCGTCTTTCTTCGTGAATTGACCGGAATTTTCACAATTCTCTGATTGAATTGTTAGGGTTTTTCATTTTTGGAATTGCGGAATTCTGATTGATTGCGTGGCGGTTAGTTAGTTTCTCAAATTATGCTGTTTGAAAATGTGGTATTGCTTGCAGTTGGAGGTTTTCAGGAAGACGCTAATGCAGTCTCTTCAAGAGGATGAAGACAGCTCTGTGAAAAACACTGTGAGTGAGCAGTGTGGTTTTATTTCATTTCCTCAAATCAAAATTGAGTCTTTTGGGAGTTGAGAAGGTGATAGGAAATTTTGGTTTTTTCTTTGCAGGGGGGCGGAGGAGCTGTAGGAACTCCTCATATCATTGCTAAACTGACGCCTAACGGTATTACATCGACTCAAATACACTGTCTTCCTTTTTTGCCCAGTTGCAGTTGATTGGAACTAACTTGGGGAAAACTTGGGATTCAGAGGATGATGCCATATTGCCACCTTTAAGATCATCTTCAACTGCGAGCCAGTTCTCGGAAGTGGGGAGCTCTTACACCGAGGATCGTAGCTCAGATGGTAAGTTGTGCCATGCGAATGCCAATCACTTGCTTGGAAAATCTTCTCTTCTACAAGTTGATTAAACATGCTCTTTCTACTTTTTCAAACCACGACTATATGTGAGATTTGGATCTTGGTTGATGTTGTTTGGCAGCGACGAGGCCTGGCTTGTCGAAGTCGATGCTGCTAGCATCGCAGACAAGCACACCAAAGCTGACACCGCCTGGTTCTCCTCCGATATATTCAGCTTCAGCATCTCCTACCAGATCGTCTAAATCCGCTTCACCAAGGCGAAGTGCGATGTCGTTTTCTACATCCAGAGGGATGCCCGACGACAGGTTCTCCTCTCTCTCACCAGGCCAGTACAGTTCCGTCTCGAGCTCAGACACAGCATCACAAACTGGTTCGCAAATTCACTACTTCCAATGCTGATCAAAAGAATTAGAATCTTTTCTGCGATCTCACTTACTTTTGGTGTAACAGGGAGAGCTCGAGTTGATGGGAAAGAATTCTTCCGCCAAGTTAGGTATTCACTTGCTTGAATCACATTTACATTTCACTCTCGGACTCCATTAGCTTCAAGCTTCTAACTTCTAGTTTTCTCTGTCAGTAGTTGTTAATCTTAACCCAATCCCACGTTCATACAGGAGCCGTTTGTCATACGAGCAGTTCGGTGCATTTCTGGCTAACGTCAAGGAATTGAACTCCCACAAGCAAAGCAAAGAGGTAGCTATCTGCTATCTATCTGTCTCATCAATTGTTTCACTCCACTATTCTGTAACTTCCTTTGACTGCAGCCATCATTGTTTCAATGCAACTATCTCTGTTCTGCAGGAAACACTGAGGAAGGCAGAGGAGATTTTCGGGTCAGAGAACAAGGACCTTTACGCGATATTCGAAGGATTGATATCTCGAAGTAGCGTACATTGAAACACTACCATAACCAGGTTCCTGTATCCAAATATTGTGTTCTTGCCCCGTCCCACATTTTTTCCATCTCGGGTGTAAATTCTTTGCCATCATGTACACAACTCTCCCCCTCTCTGTGTTTCCCCACTTCTATCGATCATGTGCATGGTGTATTACTTCACTGACTGTTAAATAATGTAAGCCTGAGAAAAGAATCTCTTTGATACTGGACAAAGGGAAATTCAATAATAAGTTGTTCTGTAAGGAAAGGTCCCCCTTTTGGCTACATTTTGCTTCGAAGTTTGGAATACAGAAGGATTCGAGGCTGTAAGTCTATGATAATGCATGTGGATTAGTGTTTGATTATTCAATAATCGACAATTAGCAACGGTAACAAGATTAAGTCTAAAGTTAGCCGTCTGCATTTCTCAAGTCCAGAAGGATTGCTTCTGTTTGCTGAACCTTCTCCTTCAAAACCGACTGACCGATAGGCCAGTCGGTGGTGGTTTCGGTTGAAAGTTTTGAGCATGTATCGGTGTCGGCTAACTGATTGGTCGGTTCGGTTAAACCGAAACCGCACCGATTATCAACCCTACTTTAGAGAGACTCAAGAAGGCTTTTTGGGAATCTATTATCTGTGGGGTCAATTCTATAATTGATCACTGAAATCTGGGGTCGCTAACAATGCAGTCAATGAACTTTCCTTCTCAACCAATTCGTTGATGAAGTTTGAAATACTTACCATAATAGTCAATTAGTCAAACTAACGAAAAAGTGTTGAGATATATGACAATTAACGAATATGTACAACTGATTTTCACTTATACATGATCCGAACAAAATCTGTTACTTGACTTAATTTTAAATTTATGATTATTTTCTTGTAGTTAGAGGTCTTTGTGCCGTTTTTATTGTTAAGGTTGGCGGGTCAGTACGCTGATTAAGATATTTTGGTCGAAAAATTTGACAAACGAATGAAGTGAATATTATTATTATTATTATTATTTAGTTAATAATAAAATTCTGTTGACCAATTTATCAATAAATCCATAGTTTAGTGACTGTTTATACGATATGACCCACCTTATTCATCCATGATTCATCTCTCTATCAATCAAACCCTAGTGATAGCAATCATTTCGAGTCAAGTGAATGGGCCCAACCAAGTTGCTTTTCTTGCAGGCCCATCAAACCCGCCGGCCTTGATATGAATCTAAGCGGCCAACATGTTAAGAAACCGTTAAAAACTGCATAACTATGATTTCTTCGTGACAGACAGTTGCCATGGTACACGCGGGAAATCTGAATATTTCCCACCACCATAATCTATGTGTTTACCACTAAAAAATCACTCAATACCACATTGATTATTTTCAAGGAGTGGTAGTGATTTATAAGGCCAACTTAACCATGTTAATTAAATTGGTTTAGGTTGGGCCTAAATAATGGTATTTTGGGCTTCATACCAGGTACCTCAACACACACCACTTGACCCACCAAACACCCACCCATCACGCAAAGGGGGTCAAGTGCCGAGCGTTGACACCCTTCAACATCAACCACCCAAGCCGTGGAGACCCACAACACAAGGGGGGGTCATGCATGACATCACGCAAGGGGGTCATGCATGACACCGTCCAAGGGGGTCAAGCACAAGGGGGGTCATGCATGACATCATCCCAAGGGGGTCAAGCATGATACCATCCAAGGCGAGTGAAGTATGACGAGACGCGAGCTAGCTGTGGTAGCAAAGAAAGCCAAATTTGGCTAAGTGTTGAGACCCACAGCACAAGGGGGGTCATGCATGACATCGTCATGATGTTGAGGTGAAAATTGGCTAAGTATGGAGATCCAACCGTCCAAGGGGGTCATGCATGACTTCGTCCAGGGGGTCTCGTCAAGGCAGTCAAGCATGACACCGTGCAAGGAGGGTCAAGCATGACACCATCCAAGGGGGTCTAGCCGCCTACCAGGTATCAAAGCGTGTGCCAAGGCGACAAGGATCAACAACAACACGACTCGGCATCGAGGCCATCAAGTACCCACCAGCACAAGACGGGACAAGGGCCCCAAGGTGACAGTTACCAACTAGTCACCAAGGCGGCGACAAGGACCCCGAGGCGGTTTGGAGCAGCAAGCCAGCTAGCAGTTACAAAGGCAGTTACCAGGCAATTACACTCGATGTCTATAAATAGGAGAAACTAAAATTGTAAACGAGTTCCACAACCAAACATTTGACAACACATGTCAAAATTTATCTTTTCTCTACAACTTGCCTTTTAGTTTTTCGGAGCTCTCACTGAACCTCCATAGGAGTAGAGTAACGTAGCTTGTTCCCAAAAAACCATCAAAAACATCAAACACCCTCGTTCGAACATTGTTCGGAGAGGAGTGAACCGTGTTATTAATCGTTGTTCAAGAAGTCAAGGTGCATTTATTGAGTTCAAACACCAGTTTTTCCTCGTCGGAAAACAAATTGGCACGCCCAGTGGGACAATTGTGTTTGATTTGATGGCTCCACGACTGAGAGAACATGAAGGTGATATTTCACCAGGAGTTGTGAAGGAGTTGGCGGCCAAGTTCAAATTTGGCCAAGCATCAGTAAGTGTTGTCGGAAACAATGGCATGATTGAGATATTGCCACCGGCGGCACCTTGTGCCGATGTAACCACCGCTGCCATGTCACTCCGCTCAATGGTGGATGATAACTGCAAGATGGCGGTGGAGAACCGTCAAGTGATGGTGGAGATCCGTCGATTGATGGAAGAGAGTTTGAATGGACTTGTTAGAAGTTCACAACAGACAAGTCTAAAACTTGCTTCTTTTAGTTCTATGTTAGATAGACATTTGGAAGAATTGCTTGAAGCAACTACAGAAAATACAAATTGCTTAGATAAGCTTAAAAAATATTTTATAGAACCAGTGGTGCGAGAAATTTTTTTACCAAAAAATGGTATAGATCCGCCACCAAGTATTGCTACTGAGTATACAAGTATCCTGTTCTCCGGTGGCCGGACTACTCAGCCACGGTCAGAGAACTCATCGTCTACGATGGAAATTCAACTACCTCTTCAACATGGTGGTTGTGGTGAGAATCTCGCTCCCACGTTCACCACTCATGTAAAGCAACCGCCTGTGCCGACAGTTACTCATAAAACTGTCTCAGAGGCTAGACCATGCTTGAACGTGAGAGTTGGTGGAGGGTTAATAGCTGATGTGCTACCACAAGCTTGCCCAACCTCGATGCCATTTATGCTCGAGCGGCCTGGTGGATGCAAATCGCCAGGGGGGCATGCAGAGGGCCATGAAAGTCTACCTAACAAGGTGAAGTGTCAGGCTGGGGGACACATTGATGTCAAGAAAATCGAACAAAAGGGTGTGTCCAACAGAATACCATGTTTATCTTCTAAGGATTACATGAGGGACATGTCATCAACCACAAGCAGTGGGTTGACAGTTGTGTCCAAGAAGCCACTACAATCCCAAACCACATGTGCTGCTAGTAAGAATACTAATATGGCTAAGTTTGGAAAGGGGGGCACGTCAACAATCATGAATAATGGTATGGGGGACATGTCTCCAACCATTGGACAGGGGGGCAAATTATATGAGTGTGCAACACACCCAAGCCACTAAAAAAATTTCTAAGTATGAGAGTGTGTTAATAGATGGACAAAGAAGCAAGTGCGTGCTTAACAACCCTCATGGCATGCCAAATATGAATGGCAGGGGCATGAACAAGACATCCCGGCATACAAAAACCAGAAATGGTCCTACAAAGAACCAGAGGTTATGTGCTACGTGTAGAAGTCAGCAAGCCGTAAGGGTTGAACAGGATCAGGTTGGCCACCAGGGTGGTCATCGACTTGTTAAGTCCAAACACCCATCTTTCCAACCATATGGGAAGAATAAGCATGTGTCTTATCAGGGGGAACTAAGACAAACAACAACTCATGGTCTTGTTGATGACTCAAAGGAGTTGAAGATGTTTAGTGTGTCACCCAGGATGAGGCAAAAACATCGGGCTCAACATAAGAACAACGTGTCGAATGAGATGGCTAAGGCAAAGGAGCATGAGACCACTTGCAAGCCTGCCAAATCAAGACAAGTTGATCAAGTACCATTCGTTGTTAAGTTGGAAAATTCGAAACCAACACCAAAGGAATGGTCTTTTCTTAAAGAGGGAAGGCATGTAGTGTATGGATGGTTGGTCTGGTTTGATTCATGGATTTGGCAATGGGTGTACACCTTTGGCACATTGGTAGTTGCCAATGGGTGTGGAAATCAGTGACGTCTATCACTCCTTACTATATTAATTATATAAATAATAGTTAGAAAAAAAAGAGAAAAAGTGAAAATAGGCCACTCATGGCTAAAAAAGAAGAAGATGTCGAAGTAGCAAGTTTTTGTTAGACTTGGGATGAGAGGTTCTTGTCATGAATGGTAATCCACAGTAATGTGTTTGGATCCATGCCACTTACAGGGCATGAGCAAGAGATCGGGTATGTGACCTAAAACCTTCATGGTTCGTGCCATCATACCCAATGGGGCTTACTTGTTAAAAAATTTAGATGGTGTGTTTCATGATCAATTGATCAATGATAAGTATCTCAAGCCTTACGTACCTTCTCTTTGGGACGTGGGGTGTCAAAGGGTTCAATATTAGTAGGCCACCATGGTGGCCGACATGCCAAGCCGCACGCACCCTAAGGCATGACATGATACCCTCATGATGAAGTCTGGCTTGAGTAGCTAGCCATGGCATGGAGGGTATATTGAGATAAAGTATAACATTGATATGGGGGCAGTGAAGCCAAGTAGATTGGTATCACACTTCATCAATAATAAAAATAAAATTTGCTGCTAAGGCAATGAGGAGTTAACTTGTCTTGGGGGGCAAGTAGATAGCAGTCCTACAAATGGTTGAATGAGAAAAGTATGGCTTTTTATCGACTTTGATAAAGCCAAAGCTCAGCCGCATGAGGGTTTGAGAGGTGAGCTTGATACGTACGAGGTGTGAAGCTAAGTGGTTTAGTTGATGTTAACTACTTAGTCCATAATCCTTATGCACTAAGTAGTTGGGGGGGGGGGGGGGGGGGCATTTGTTTACCACTAAAAAATCACTCAATACCACATTGATTATTTTCAAGGAGTGGTAGTGATTTATAAGGCCAACTTAACCATGTTAATTAAATTGGTTTAGGTTGGGCCTAAATAATGGTATTTTGGGCTTCATACCAGGTACCTCAACACACACCACTTGACCCACCAAACACCCACCCATCACGCAAAGGGGGTCAAGTGCCGAGCGTTGACACCCTACAACATCAACCACCCAAGCCGTGGAGACCCACAACACAAGGGGGGTCAAGCATGACATCACGCAAGGGGGTCATGCATGACACCGTCCAAGGGGGTCAAGCACAAGGGGGGTCATGCATGACATCATCCCAAGGGGGTCATGCATGACACCGTCCAAGGGGGTCAAGCACAAGGGGGGTCATGCATGACATCATCCCAAGGGGGTCAAGCATGATACCATCCAAGGCGAGTGAAGTATGACGAGACGCGAGCTAGCTGTGGTAGCAAAGAAAGCCAAATTTGGCTAAGTGTTGAGACCCACAGCACAAGGGGGGTCATGCATGACATCGTCATGATGTTGAGGTGAAAATTGGCTAAGTATGGAGATCCAACCGTCCAAGGGGGGTCATGCATGACTTCGTCCAGGGGGTCTCGTCCAAGGGGGTCTCGTCAAGGCAGTCAAGCATGACACCGTGCAAGGAGGGTCAAGCATGATACCATCCAAGGGGGTCTAGCCGCCTACCAGGTATCAAAGCGTGTGCCAAGGCGACAAGGATCAACAACAACACGACTCGGCATCGAGGCCATCAAGTACCCACCAGCACAAGACGGGACAAGGGCCCCAAGGTGACAGTTACCAACTAGTCACCAAGGCGGCGACAAGGACCCCGAGGCGGTTTGGAGCAGCAAGCCAGCTAGCAGTTACAAAGGCAGTTACCAGGCAATTACACTCGATGTCTATAAATAGGAGAAACTAAAATTGTAAACGGGTTCCACAACCAAACATTTGACAACACATGTCAAAATTTATCTTTTCTCTACAACTTGCCTTTTAGTTTTTCGGAGCTCTCACCGAACCTGAGCTCTCACCGAACCTCCATAGGAGTAGAGTAACGTAGCTTGTTCCCAAAAAACCATCAAAAACATTAAACACCCTCGTTCGAACATTGTTCGGAGAGGAGTGAACCGTGTTATTAATCGTTGTTCAAGAAGTCAAGGTGCATTTATTGAGTTCAAACACCAATTTTTCCTCGCCGGAAAACACTATGTACAGGCTTGCTCTTCTTTCAAGCAGCCAGTCGAGCCAGCCCTGCAAAAATATCACACAATGTAGATTGGAGAGCACATTTCTTCTTCTTCCTCCTTCCTTTTTAAGCTGAATTCAATGATGAAAAAATGGCAAAGTGAGAGGAGGAAGAGAGAGAAAATCATTGAAAGCCCTAATTTTTATCAAAAAACAACCTTCCATCCCTCGATAATTTTCAAGACCTTTCGATTTCCCACTTTTTACATTTCCTCTGCATTTGTCGCAGTGAGAAGAGAGAGAGAGGGAGGGGGCATTTCTCCCTCTCTCTAGGTAGCCTTTAATATCATGGATGGTGGTGGCCGATCAGCGCCTACTCCTCAAACTTCCCCATGGTCGTCGTTTCAGCATTTTAACCTCTGGCCCAAATTCTCCATGTAATTTTGTTAACCCATTTCCCCCTTTTCTCTCTTTTCTTTCTTTCTCTTTCCTCTTCTTCCCTCTTCAGTTCTGTTTGGGGTTGAGGGGAAAAAAGAAGAAAAAAAAAAAATAACGAAAACAAACAATGACCTTTGATCAAACATTGTTCATACAGCAGCAGCGTACTAGCTTGATTGCATGTTTGTCTTCCAACTGCCATTCTTGTAATACCCATGTTTTAATTTTTTTTTAAAATTTGCACGCTTGGTGTTCGATCATTTTCCTGAAAGAAGAATACATTGTTTCATTATGTTCATTTGTGTTTTTTCTGCGCAGTGGCAACAATGGTTCTTCTCGAGAGCCAGCCAAAGAAGGCATCCAAGACAAAGGGCCGCAGCCTATCACAGGAAGAAGAAGTCGAGCTGGCTTCTCCGACTCCTTTCAAGATCTTGGTATGATCAAAGATGCCGCCTCTTTTTTTCTTTTCATCCCTTTTGATTCCTTTACCCTCTCAACGTACATTCTTGTTGAGTCATTTTCCGTTTTATGAAAATTGGATTATGATGGTAATTTCAATGGTAGACCGATTTTTATCTCAGACGTGGGATCTTTAATTGTTGACGACCACAACGAAGACAAAGATAAAGCTCAGCAGCAGGCAGAGTCCTCCTCCTCCTCCTCCCCAAAGAAAGTAGCGTCAGGAGCTGGTGTGGTTACCCGGCTAGAACCAATCGTGGTTCCCCGGCTAGAACCCACAGGAAGTCCCAAAGGTAACCCTGCCACCCCGCCGACCAACAAAGCATCACCATCAACAGCCATTGTTGCTGCTTCTGATCAGCCACCCCAACTTCCCAACACCTCTGCCCCGGACGCACTTTCCATAGTTCCTTTAGTCTGGCGTGATTTTTGCAAGGTGTTCAAGAAGGGCCCCACCCCATTGATAAAAAAACAGAACATCCCGAGTCTGAAAAAAGCTGTCCCTAAGCTCACCAGAAGGAAGAGCAAAAGGATTCGAGACGGCATGGTCCCACCATTGAGTTCCCCTCTCGATGCTGAACTTTGTTACCTCAAACCTTCATGGAAGAATTTCGCTCTCTGGGAGTTGCTTGCTGCCACCGACAATTATAGTCGGGGTTAGAAAATTATTCTTTCTCACATTCATTCATTCATTCATAAGTTGTCTTGATTTAACGAGTTGAAATGACCTTGTTATGAAATTTCTCTCTTTTTTGTTTCGTTTTCAAGATAACTTGATTGGAGAAGGAGGGTATGCGGAGGTTTACAAAGGGAAATTGGCTGACGGGCAGTTCGTTGCCATAAAAAGACTAGTCAGAGGCAATTCACCGGAAGAGATGACCATGGATTTTTTATCTGAGCTCGGGATTATCTGCCATGTTGACCACCCCAATATTGCTAAATTAATTGGGTATGGTGTTGAAGGGGGAATGCACCTTGTTCTTCAGCTGTCCATCAATGGAAGCGTCTCATCTTTACTCTACGGTTAGCTTCTTACTTGAGATTAGCAATGTGATTAAGGCTAGTTTCAGATTAAAATGTTCCATCAAAGTTGTTCTTCTTCACGCACAGGACCAAGGGAAAAGTTGAGCTGGCCGATTAGATACAAGATTGCTGCAGGAACGGCTGAGGGGCTTTTGTACCTTCATGAGGGTTGTCAGAGGAGAATTATCCATAAAGATATCAAGGCTGCTAATATTTTGCTCACAGAAGATTTCGAACCTCAGGTTTGGTTGGTTCACTTTTATGTACCTTCATGAATTTAATAAGTCCTATATTTGTTGCCATTGCCATTTGTATCACATTTCTATTTTGTGCTAATGCAGATTTCAGATTTTGGGTTAGCAAGATGGTTACCAGAGAACTGGACGCATCACACTGTATCAAAAATTGAAGGAACCTTTGGGTTTGTAAATACAAAAAACTTCCCTTTTCATTGCTTTACCACTTGGCATTGAGCTCCTTTCTTAAGAAAGGTTTTAACTCATTCATCACAGTTACCTTCCTCCCGAGTTCTTCATGCATGGGATAGTAGATGAGAAAACAGATGTTTTTGCTTATGGGGTTTTATTACTAGAGCTCATCACAGGAAGACAAGCCATTGACAGTTCACAACAAAGCCTCGTGATGTGGGTGTGTGCGACATCCCCCCCTCTTCTTAAAATTCCTCAATTCCTATTCTACAACTAAAAACAAAAAGTCTTGAACTGTTGTTGCCTTCCTTCACTTTTGTAGGCTAAACCATTACTTATGCAAAACAAGATCAGTGACTTGGTAGACCCGGTCCTGGGTGACTCATACAACATGGAACAGATGGAGCGTGTCGTTTGTCTAGCTGCAATGTGTGTTGAACAGGCCTCGGTTCAGAGGCCACAGATGAGCCAGGCAGTGGAGATTCTGAGCGGTGATGGGAGCACATTAGAGGAAGTGAGACGAAGACAGAAGTCCAAGCTCCAAAGAACATACTCTGAGGAGCTTTTCGATGCAGACGAGTACAATTCGACGAGGTACTTGAGTAATCTCAACATACATTTGGAGGATCTCTTGGAACCGGATGATAGCATTAACGATTATCCTAACAATGATGATGATGATGATGATGATGATGCTTTTGTCGAGGCTTCTGAATATGTCAAGTCGCCATCAGAACACGAAGAGGAGAACTCAACCAACCATGAGGATGGTGATGTAGAGAAGTTGTCGGAGGAGAAATCGATAGATGGTGACAAAGGGAAATCCAATGATGTGGATGATAAAAAAGAATGAGAACTAAAAAGATAGAAGGGAGTGTTTTTCTTATTGTTTAAGTACTTGTCGTAGAAGAAGATCACATCTCAGACATTTTTCTTGGGAAGTAAGTACTTTCAGGAACGAAGCTCGGGGGATAACGGCATGGTGGAGAAAGGAACTCCATATTGTACAAAGAGAGAGAGAGAGAGAGAGAGCGAAAGAGGAAGAAAACAAAAGATTTCAAACTACACTAGAGTAGCTTGAACGAGAAACTTATGAAATTGTACATGGAAAAAAAAAAAAAAGACTAGTTTGGAAAACCCCACAAAAACAATGGAAGATTGGTTGGGTTATGCTACTGCTATATTTAAACAGTCTATTGATTAAATAGACTTCACATTGGCATCGGGGACCATATAAAGGCACATATGATTAAGTCGGGTTGTTGCTTGGCATCGAACATCAGCTGATGGCGAATGTTAGAACGTGTTTCTTTGATTGATTATTAATTTTAGATGCGCTCTTGTAATATTTGGATTCCACCAAGCGTCTTTTATCTGTTGTACGTGATTTTGCCGACTCATTTGCCTATTTGATCTAGGGAAGTAGAATGCAATTACAGTGTGTCCAGTTTGTAATTAGTCTATTAGTTAGTTAACCATTAAGGACGTTGCAAGATTGGGGACAGGTTACGGTTTAGGTAGTAATCACCATAGTTACTTAGGGTAAATTGGGTATAGAAAAATAAATTATATTAATTAATTTTTTTAATAAATTACAATTTAGGTAGTTACAAAAATCTATTAATTACGATTCTTTCTCTTTCTATCACTTCCGTAATCTCCAGTCAGATTTCCTTTCCTTATTTTTCTCAATCTTTCTGCAAAAGTAAAAAAAAACGAAATCACTACCAATCCATTAGACCATCACTCCCACTTTGAAAAACATCAATACCATTGCAGAAAAAAATCTATACCATTACACGAAAACTACCAATATAAATCTATACCATTTCAAAAAAAATCAATACCATTGCAGATTTAATCAATATCAATACATGCAAATTAATACCATTACATGATAATCAATATCAATGCGACATAAACAATACCAATGCAACAAAATCAATACCAATACCATTAGAGAAATAAAAACACTACCATTTAACAAAACATCAATACCATTACAATAAAACAATAAATCAATACCAATCCATTACAAAATACTACCATTGCACAAAATACTAATATCATTCGAGAAATAGAAATACTGCCATTTAACAAAACATCAATAGCTTTGCAAATTTAATCAATACCAATGCGACAAAAACAATACCAATACGACAAAATCAATATCAATGAGACAAAATCAAAAACAACACTACAACGTTTCATGAAATAAACAACGAACACTACCAAAACAAAACAAAACAAAAATCTAGGTTATACATATACACACACGGTGGATAGAGATAGGGAGGGAAGGAAATTGCCGTCACCATCTCATTCCTCCACCATCACCGTCACCCAGAGAGCTCGACCACGACCGTCTCCCAGAGAGAGAGAGAGAGAGAGAGAGAGAGTTGGACGGTGGTCAAGAGTGGCTGCGAACGGAGAAAGGGAACAACCGATATGGGAGGTGTTGGTGGCGATGGAGAATGGACTTGAAGTAGGGTTTAGATATAATATATAGAAATTAAATCTTTAAAGGATAGAAATTAGGTGTGGTATTCTCAAAATTACCCTTAATCTAATCTACACCATCAATTTAAAATTAGGGTGAAATAAAAATAATCAAAGGTATAGATTTTAGTAGCCATCGTGGTTACTCAATTTTGATAATCACCCTAAGATTGTGAAGAATTTGAAGGGAACCAACACGATTAGAGAACAGAAAAATGCCCCAATAAGTAGGGATGAGTTAGGGTGGTTACTCAATTTTAAGTAATCATGGTGGCTACTAACATCTATACCCTTCATTATCCTTATTTTATCCTATTATTAAATTGACGGTGAAGATTAGATTAAGGGTAATTTTGAAAATAAAAAATATACCACACCAGATTTCTATCCTTTAAATAATTAATTTCTATATATTATAGCCAAACCCTAATCCCTCACTCTCCTCAACGAGACATGCCCGTCCGCCCCTCCTCGGCGACGGCGAACCCATCGACGAATCACCAGGGGGAGACGGCGAGGAAGCCTTTTCTCTATTGCCCCAACCACCAACCACCCTTCTGATCATGGACAGAAACGGCGACGGCGGCGGAGGGGACTTTTCTGGGCCGACGAGGAAAGTTCATGACGAGGAAAACTTAGCCGTTGCGATCCCGGAGACCGCCCATCAGATTAGCAGCGGTGAATTCCCTCTTTCTACTTCAATTTTGTTTTCCTTATAAGTTTTGTGATCCCCTTTTGATAAGCTAGTTACTCATTCAGATCTCGCCGCCGACAAGCCACTCGCCAGCTTCTTCTTTCACGGCCCAACCGGAGTTGAGAAATCACGGCTCGCCAGAGCATTAGCAATGGAGTTCCTCGGGTCGACAGATTCGCTGGAAAAGGTGGGATGAATAAAAACCCTAGATCTGATTTTTTTTTTCTCGCATTGGCAGTGATTTTTTCGTTGTGGTAGTGTTTTTTTGCATTGGTATTGTTTTTGTCGCATTGGTATTGATTATCATGTAATGGTATTAATTTGCATGTATTGGTATGGATTCAATCTGCAATGGTATTGATTTTTTGTGAAATGGTATAGATTTATATATTGTTTATAATGGTAGTTTTCGTGTAATGGTATAGATTTATTTCTGCAATGGTATTGATATTTTTCAAAGTGGTAGTGATTATCTAATGGATTGGTAGTGATTTCGTGTTTTTTTTTCTTTTGCAGAAAGATTGAGAAAAATAAGGAAAAGGGATCTGGCTGAAGATTATGGAAGTGAGAGAAAGAGAGAGAATTGTAATTAATAGATTCTTGTAACTACCTAAAATGTAATTTATTAAAAAAATTAATTAATACAATTTATTTTTCATACCCAATTTATCCTTAGTAACCACGGTGATTACTACTTATATAGAATCACCGTAACCTGTCCCCCAATAAGTATGTGGCCAGTTTCCACCAAAATGGTGTCGTAGTGCTGTATAATGAGTTATGACCTCTTCGCCGTCATCCCTTTGTCAACACGACGCCTTCCGACGAAGACAAATATCTCCTAATCTCCTCTTCTCACCGCCAAAGCCAACAAAGATCAATTCACAAAGTCTCACTTACCCAGGATTATTGAAGAGGGGTGTCGCCGATAAAAATTATAATAATTAAGATAATGAAATAAAAATTTAATAGAAATTACTGTAAATTTATTTATAAGTTCACAACCTCATGTTTACAACGAATTATGACGATTTTTCATATTTGATATTTTTTTAAAATACATTCATCGTTCATGTTGCAAATCAAACCTTTTTCGATATACACAACTACATAATCATTCATAAATTAGTCACTCAACTAAAGAGAATCGACCTACGTCTAAAATCAAATTAAATTAAAATAAATTAGTTTGCTACCAATCGGCTATTTTAGAAAAAACAAAGTATGCCTAAGTAATATCATTAGCATTTTTTCTCTAGTTCTATCAAATTAACCAAAATCAAACCACAATCTCCCATAAATATAGGCAATTCACCTATTAACTACAAATCAATAAGTTAAATTGGGTTGTGGGTTACTTAAAACAAGCATGCTTATTTGATTTTATTTATTATTGTTAATTATTAATTATGACGAATAACTTTATAACATTAAAACTATTGTTATATAATGAAAGTGTGTCGCTTATAATTATTAGAACGGTGTCGGAAGTTCCAAATTAAAAAATTTTGTACCGAAAAAATAGAGGTTCTTCACAAAATTTTCGAGAGCGACACCCCTCCCCTTGCCCTAGGTCCGCCCCTGCTTCCATGGCTACTATGAATCTAAAGCGTCTCTTTTTCTTCCTCTTCTCGACCTCATTGCTCCTCCACGAATCTACCGCCTACCCTGCTACTGCCAGTTCCATTGTCGATCCCTCCAAAGTCAAACAGGTCTCATGGAAGCCAAGGTTTGCTGCTCGAACTTGGACTTGGGTTTGGTTACTGGCTTCCCCTTCTTGGCAAAGATGGCACCTTTAGGGGTTTTTTCAAACAATTTTCTGCAGGGCATTTGTGTACCAAGGGTTTCTTACGGACTCGGAATGCGATCACTTGATCTCCCTGGTGAGATCATTACCCATTTTTTACTAGTTCGAAGAGATGGTGAACCCAATTCTCCTCTGATTTGTTATTGGGTTTGCAATCCAGTTCGAACCACTCTGGGATGTTCATTCCCAAGGGAAAGGTTTTGCTGCTTCGTTTTACTTTCCATTTTGAGCATATATGTGCTTAAATTGGATCTTGTTAGTATAATCACTTTTGCTTCAATTCTTCCAATTTGGGAATTTATCTGTTAGCTTCCTTGCGAGTCTTTGTTCTATCATAACTGTTTCTTGTTCTTTTGGGCATTTTTCTTGTTTCTGCTACTTTCCAGGATCCGATTGTTGCTGGCATTGAAGAAAAGATTGCAACTTGGACTTTCCTTCCAATAGGTTTGCCATTTTCCCTAATCATACATGATCGATTTTTGTGTATCCCTCATTTCATTCTTTGGTTCAAGTGCTTTACTTTGGCTTGTGGTAATGTGATGATGAACTTAAACCAGTGATCTTAGGACTAGCCAAATGGTTGTTGTTTCAATTCAGGTTCATTTTGTAAGACATATTTGACTAGTGGATGTGTTGTAAATTGTATAATTTATCAGGTTGGTTATTACTTTGGGACTTCTATATATCTTCCTTTATGGTGCCTTTTTCCTTGTATACTTGTATTAGGCATATATAAGTGGTTCTTCAGCTTCATCATTTCTCCTTCTTTCTCAAACAATGGGGAGGACATTCAGGTGTTGAGATATGAGCATGGTCAGAAATATGATCCTCATTTTGATTACTTTGCTGATAAGGTCAACATTTTCGTGGTGGACACCGTGTAGCAACTGTGGTCATGTACCTTAGCGATGTTGAGAAGGGCGGCGAGACTGTGTTCCCTTCTGCAGAGGTTGGTAGTTCAAAGGTTCCTTTTAAGTGTCTGAATATGCTGTTCCTAGTACGCGTAATTGCGAGACAAGTTTTGGCAACTGGAACCTCCACGTCGTCGTAGTTTTGTGAAAGAGGATCTCTATGAATGTGCTAAGAAAGGAGTTGTACGCGAGCTTGTATAGATGTAACTTAAGTGCCTTGGTGGTCATTAAACTATGAGTGCTTGTAGTTAAAGGATCACTGACTTGAAAATCTTAGCATTGAACTGAATGGTTTGTGACAAAGCAGTGATTCTGTCTAATTTATCGATAATTTGACTAAGTCAACATGCCAAATAGTTTTGACATGCCACCCCGCCCGGTTAGGAAGCATCCCCACGCAACCTCCACACCCTTTTTCAACTTGAACGCAAGGTTTGTGGGCTGGGGTCGAGTTGGGGGCCATGTGACCTAGCCCTTCCAAACTCGTGGATGGGTTGGTCATGTGCTTTTGCTTGTAAGGTTGGGAGTATGGTCTGTGGGTTAAGACCAAGTGGTTACTGGGGTGCCGATTAGGGTGATTATGGTCGCATGGCGAATATATTTGGCATTTGCTGACTCATCGGTACTAATGGCAATTTAGATGGAAGGAAACTGATTGACTGTTTTGTTGCAGTCTTGCAGATCACATAGTTAGTGACTATTCAGGCTTTAAACTCGTACAAAATGATATACTTGATCTATACAGAATAGGTCATTATGTTGTCTCAATTTGTTCTGTGTGTCAATATCCTTTCCCCAAAGTTTCTGCATCTCATCATCTCAGCTCACTAGTGTCTTAAACTATAACACTGCAGTGAAACCACGAAGAGGAGATGCACTGTTGTTCTTCAGCCTGCTCCCAACAGCCATACCGGACACCAGCAGCCTCCATGCTGGTTGCCTGGTAATCGAGGGTGAGAAATGGTCTGCAACAAAGTGGATCCACGTGGACTCATTCGACAAGAATGTAGAGGTTGTTGGTGGGAACTGCACAGACCAAAATAAGAGCTGTGAGAGGTGGGCAGCTCTGGGGGAGTGCACGAAGAATCCCGAGTATATGCTGGGTTCAGCTGAAGGAGCTGTAAGGCATGTTAGAGAGAGAGAACCCCCACCACTGGCATCACTTCCCCCTTTGTAATCTAGACATGAGGTTGTTTCCCTCCTATAATCTTTTTTTGAAGGTGACATCCTGTTTCTGTGATGAACCTCAAGGTTGTTTGTTGTAGAAAAATGTTTGTAGATAGATTGTGTTGGATCCTCCCGTTTTGCTTACTTTTGCCAGAGTTTCTATCATACATGACGATTTGTATAAGGATGGTACACGGTTCATTTCTTTCAACAGCTCTAGGTTATTGAAGTCGGCTAAGTTCCTTTCGCAACAGTCAGATTCTGGGCACAAGCTCATAACAATAACACTGATATTATTGGTTCATAAATCAATGTCGTAACTTCATTTGTGTCATTCAGTTCAAGAGTTTTGATTACTGATGGAGCCAAGAGAGTTTATGGAGGGGAGATCTGTCTTCTTGTAATTCAGATTTTTTGTTTTATTGCCTTTAACATAAAAGAAGATCTTCGTATGCTGAAAACGTTAGACTAAATTTTCTCTAAGAAATCGTCAAATATATCAAGAGTCAATAATAATAAAAAATTAGAAATCTTATTTTCTCATGAGTGACATAAAAACCGACAATAGTCCTATGATCAAATGAGCAAGAAAATTTACGACAAGGATGACTATATAAAATAGAAGGGTGGAACTAATGCATCAACTGAATGAAAGCGAAATATAAACTCTAATGTATATAGCCAAAGAAAATTAAGATGACAATAGGAAAAAGTATTTCACTAAAATAAAATAAAAATTATAAAGCAACTCTTGACAATCTTATGAGTGAAATCTACATGAAAGTAGGGTATATAAAATAGAAAGGTGAAACGGACTTATCAATTGAATAAAACAAAATATAAACTCTAACAGTATAGACAACATTAAATACAAAAGGCACAACGCTAATTACAGTTTCCAAGAGATTTGCACCCGTTTGGATAATTTGTAACTGTAGGGGTGCAAAACGGAGGTGCAGATTACTATTTCGGCTTACCCTCGAATTGGGGTGCAAGGGAAGGAAGGGGGAGGGGGGAGAGGAATTATGAATTTTTTTTAATTATATTATAATTACTTAATAATTAATATTCTTAATTTTTTGTTATAACTATCATTAATGTAGACGTTGTTCGGGATTGACCGTTTGACTTCGAGAGCAAGTTTGTCAATGTTCGTCTAGTCAAATCGATATCTCTTGGTTGACTCAAATTTACATTGAAAATTAGAGATAAGAAGCGTTTGTGGAAAATATAGAGAGGAGCGGTTTAGTTGACTCAGTTTACTTAACTAAATAGGTAAAACTTACAGATCCGTACGTATTTGACTAAGTTTGACCATATACGATTTAAATATAAGCACGAGAACCCCCTTAGGAGTTAGGAGGACTAGTTACAAGTTGGGTTTCGAGTTTCGAGGTCGCTCGACCAATGATTATTATTGTTGTTATAATTAATAATTATTTGAGCATTATTATAAAATAATTATTTTTATTAAAATATAGTTATTATTATTATATATTGATTTTTAACTTTATTATTTTCTTCTAATATTTTATAAATTTGATAAATCTATTGTATAATAATTACTTACTTTTCAATCTATTTGCATACTCTACTTTTTCATCTAAACAACAATTTACTCTTCCACTTACACTCCCACTAAGTTGCACCTCCTAACAATTTATACCTCAACTTGAACCACATAAAAACTTGCACCCCTTGTTGCCTAACATAGTGTAAGACTAAATAATCATAAAGCTATACCTATGAGAGTAGCTGTACTTTCAAAGTATCTAAGATTGAGATCTTGGTTTCTTTATTATATTCTTGATAATCAGTCATGGGTCTAATCTAATCTAACCTAATCTTGTTAACATTCTACAAATGATCGAATTAAATTATGTTAAGAACAGGTATACAGTTTCGTCATGTAGTCATACTGTGTTAAAATGGCGGCCCGTCGCGCTCTAAAAGGAGGATCCGGGAATAGGCCCAGGTTTTCTTAATTAGCTCTTATCTTTTTCGTTCTAACTCGGATCTCAATTTTTTTTTGCACAGATGGAACGAGTTCGTTGTGCTCTACAAAATGAGATAAATTTTCAATATATTTCGAGAAACTTTTTTTTTACCAACTACATACCATATGGTAACTTCTTCGTTTTTAAGTCGTTTTTGAAAACGTTTGCTCAGAAGGAACGAGTTCATTATGATCTATTGGATCTATAAATTTCTGGGTGAAAAAAATACTGGATAAAAAATTACCATACTTTACCACTATGGTATGTGGGTGATAACTTGTGGTAACTTGTAGTAAACAATGATGAAAGTCGTAAATGACAGTTATTATACTCCTACTATCATGTGTTCAACCTTCTTACCATATTGACATGTTCATACCATCACGGTACGTTTTCTTATCATATGGTATTAAATAGGAGCATACCATATGATAATGACTGGTAAAAATTATTCAAATTTTTTTATACTAAAAATATATAAAAGTGGATATCATTTTAAAGAGAAAATTTAATCTGATTTATCTGTGCAAAAAAAAAAAAAAATTCGACTTAAAACGAGAGAGAAATCGTCCGTTAAAGATTAAAGGGGAATAGATAAAAGACTTTTCCAGAAGAGAGATGATACTAATATCATGCTGATGTACACATGTTACTCATGGTTACTGACCTGATCTGTTCCCTAAAAACCCCTCTCTTTTTTGAATGCTTCTAATTGGGATTGCTAAATACCACCCTAACTTAACAATAATCGCCCTAGATTAAACATTGTAATTATCTATTTATCCTTCCCCCATTTTTGTTTCTAAAAAATACTCATTTTTGTTTCTAAAAAAATATTATTCTAATAAAGTAATAAACACATAAAAAAAAACTAGACCCGTGTACGTTCCATCACCGTCGCCGCCATTATCCATGCCAGTCTGTTGGCCACTATTTCTCACAGTTGCCGCCAACTGTCCCGATTCTCTCCGTCAACTGCTTCATCGACGTTATTGTTATACTCATCATAGCGGAGAAGGGGCGACACATGCACCTGCGACATATCAAGCGGGAGTTGATTCTGGTGATGGGGAGAAAGGATAGATAGACCCGGCTGAGAGTTGATTCCGGTCGGGGGCGTGGAGATCGTGAAAGACTCGATTGGGAGTTGATTTCGGAGGTAAGGAGGTTCAGACGACGTATACGGCGGGGAGGTTCCATTGGTGGGGATTTGATTAACAAAAATTGCATTGGGAGAATTGAGGAAGCAATACTGGGCGATGATAGAAAACTTACGGCGACGTTTAGCCATTCAGTTCTAATTTGATTAGGGGGGGAGGTTTAGACGACGTATAGGCGGGGAGGTTCCATAACAAAAATTGCATTGGGAGAATTGAGGAAGCAATATTGGGTGATGATAGAAAACTTACGGCGACGTTTAGCCATTCAGTTCTAATTTGATTAACATTTAGTCTTTATTATTTTCATTGGCTTTCAATCATTCTAAATTGGTTCATAAAGATGACCAAAGGTTTAGTTATTCTCTTATTTACCATTGTTTTAAAATCCAACCGCACATGTCAGTCGGATTGAAGATACTAGACCCCAAATGGTAGACAATTTTAGCAATATGAAATGAATGATTTAGTATAAAATACCTTACCGAACTTTTTTTAATAATTTTTGGTATGATTTCAATCAATACTATTTGTAGAGTTGGGATATGAGTTTGGTCTTTTAGTTTAACATTGAGGGATATTGATTAATTAATTGAGGTATTTTCGTGATTAAGAAGATTGAAATTTGGATTTTTTTGTTGATTGAGTGATTGAAGGTTACTTCTTTGGGAAATTCTTGCGTCCAACCCCCGTTGGAGTTAGAGGCTCCAACCTGCCATTTGGCAGTTCCATATTGGCCCACCAAACTTCCTTTTTCTCTTATTTTAATTATTTTTATTTCTTTATTATTAATTAAATTATGAATTAAAAATGAAAAAAAAAACTTCTGGATTATAATTTAATTAGGTATATCTTAGGTTTATATGTTCTTCTATAGGAAAACTTGACCCCAACAAAAATAAACAGAATACGAAAAATTGCTCGTGCACTAGAACCAATTTTGAAATACTTATGCGTTCAAATTTTGAAATATTTTGACAATTTCACATTAATATGACCATTGTACAAAATACGGAAAAAAATATCTCACAATATCATAAATAATTTAAAAAAAAATTTGAACACCATACTTAGTATTACGGTGCCAACATAAACATAAATAGAATATCCGAATAAAAGAAACGAAGTCAATAATCCATGGCGGTTGAAACATATATCTTATCACAAATTTTCATAATCAAAATGAGGATTTGCTATTGCTTCATGCAAAAAAGAGAAAAATTGACATCAATTTAAAATAGTAGTAAATAAAATTATACAACATACATAAAAATTATAATCCAGAAGTTGCATTCCCAGCTTCCTTCCGTCTCTCTGTCGTTTCCGTCAAAGCTTTTTTTTTCATTTTTAATTCATAATTTGATTAATGGTAAAGGATAAAAAATAATTAAAATAAGGGAAAAGGAAGGTTGGTTGGCCAATATGGGGCTGACAAATGGCAGGTTGGAGCCTCTAACTCCAACAGGGGTTGGACGCAAGAATTTTCCTCCTTCTAAGAAGTTAAAAAGTGAAGTGTAGTTGTTAAGTTTTTGCTCACTTTTTTGTGTTTAGGAATTAGGATAATTTAAAATAATGTGGCATAAACGTTGGCAAATAATGAATATATTTTTTTTTTAGAAAAAGAGTATATGATTGAGTTCAGCCTCCAATTTTTTCCAGCTAGACTCGAGAATCTAGATAAATTATTTAGATGTATAGTCTTATATTCATAAAGACGTGCATAAGTCTCATAATTCTTGGATTTAAAGAAATCAAATGGTACAAATAATGAGAAGATATGGTTTTTTCTTATTACAAGAAAAGGATGAGAATATCATAATATTACTCAAAGACCTACCTATAGTATGGTCAAGATTTAGATAATATTATGGATAATATATTTAACTGAGAATTATTGAGAAAAATCAAAATTGAGATAGTTTATTAAATAAGAAGCTCAAATATCCCTGCCAATTGGCCGGGTACATGCTGTTAGGGAGATGCCCAAGTCATCATCGAGAAGTGCCAAGCTAGGGATTTTAGAAACATTAAAAATCAGGACCTCCCCTCCCAACCTTCTCAACAACAACTGTTATCTTCTTCTTCTTCCCATCCCTCCTAACTCTTCCCATCGTTTTCCCTCCCAATCTCCTACCAATATCTTTCCTGTTTTCCTTTCTTCCCTTTGCCAATCTAAACCCCCACTCCTCTCCTCTTGTCCCAGCCAGTCGGAACTAACTTGGAATCTTCGACTTCCTTGACAGATTGGTCTTCTCCTTCCTCCTCTCCGTCTTTTGTTCCTGAAACCCCTTCCTTCTCATCCCTATCCTCTCCCGTTTCACCTGGATTACCCTTTCCCTCCTGTACTCTTGTGGATGACAGGCACCCCTGGGATCTGGAGCAATTCCCGTTTGACTCAACAACGTTGGTCGAATGCTCAGTGTCGATGAGCAATCTGTTTGAATTGGAGCATGAGGAGGGTCAAGACCGAGTGGAGTCAATTGTTACTGATGCTGCTTTGGCAATGCATAGGAGGAAAATCAAGAACTCGCGATCGAAACTTGAGATGGAGAAGCGGCGTCTTGGCACCATTTCACCGTCCCCAACAGGGCCGAGAAGATGCAAGAGGAACACAGGTGTGCTCTCTTCCCTGAATTTGGATTTATGAATTCCGCAGTGTTTATTTGGAATGTTAGAGGGATTTGTGATATGGACAAAAAAGGTCGAATTAAGCAGTTGACCAGCAGGCGTAAACCTCATATTGTTGCTCTGGTGGAAACCAAGTGGTCTTCTTGCTCCGATTTGTTACTTGGAAGTATCTGTGGTGGTAGAGATTGGGGTTGGAAGGCCAAAGATTCTTCGGGCAGCTCTGGCAGAATAGTTGTTTCCTGGGATAATAGTCGGTTTCAGAAGCTCTCTAGCAGGGTTGGAAACTACTACGTGGAGGTTGAATTTTTGGAAATACAATCGTTGAAGACTTGGAAATTTGTCACTATTTATGGTCCCCAAACAAGGAGGGACAAGTTGGCTTTTCTCAATGAACTTCACAGTCTATGCCAACATCAACAATCCCAATTTGTGTTGCTGGTGATTTCAATATGGTCAGATCTCATGAAGACTATCAAGGCGGCAGACGAAGTGTTGAGCTGATGGAGTGCTTCAATAAATTCATTGATGATAACGAGCTATTGGATCTCCCAATTAGAGGATGCAGATTTACTTGGAGTTTGGGGCCAAATAGCAACTCTCACTCTCGCATTGACAGGGTGCTGATCTCTCCTGATTTTGATTCTCTATATATGGATTATAGATTGGTTGGTTTGGAAAAGGTGGAGTTTGACCACGCGCCTCTTCTTCTTTAATGGGGCTGCTTGAGGAGGATCAATCGACCATGGAGATTTGAAAACATATGGCTTGAAGATGAAAGGTTTTATGATGGGTTGCGATCTTGGTTTATGAACCCAATTCAGGGCAATGGAGCTGTGTTCAGACTAAATAAGAGACCGAGGGACCTGAAGCAGAACATCAAAACTTGGAACACGGAAGTTTTTGGCAACATCCACACTAGAGTTGATATCCTCCTTAAAGAGATCAAAGAATTGAGCTTGATCAAAGAGTCGCGGCCACTGTCTGACATTGAAATTGCAGCTCTAACGGAAAAGAAGATGGAATTGGGAAAGGTGTTACTCCTGCAAGAAATCTGTTGGAGGCAAAAATCCAGAGAAGTGTGACTCAAATATGGGGATCAAAACACAAACTTCTTCCACAAAATGGCAAACTTCAGAAGGAAAGTGAATTTTATTTGGCGGATCAAGATCAATGATATTATGGTTGAAGATCTTGAAGACATTGCACAAGGAATAGTGGAATTTTATAAAAATATGTTCTTTGAGGATATTAAGTGTAGACCCTTCCCTCGCAATTTCGGGACAAGAAAGCTGAGTTCAACAGACGGTGCATCTCTTGAAGAACCTTTCTTGGAAAATGAAATCTTGGAATGCTTGGCTAACTGCGATGGTTCTAAGGCTCCAGGTCCCGACGGTTTTACATTTGAATTCTTCAAAAAAGTGTTGGTTGTTCGTCAGATAAGATGTTCTGGAAGCTTTCAGGGAGTTCTATGTTACCGGATCTCTTACTAAATGTGCGACTCACTCCTTCATATGTTTAATGCCCAAGAAAGATGCTACGGAAGAAATCAAGGACCTTCGCCCTATTGGCTTGATGGGATGTGTCAATAAACTCATCTGCAAGGTGTTAGCTAGGATACTCGGTCAGGTTCTACCTTCTTTCGTTCTTGAGTTTCAGCAAGCATCAGTTTAAGGAAAACAAATTTCAGAAGCTGGTATCCTCGCTAATGAGCTGGTTTATAGTAGAAGGAAGAGTAGAAAGCCTGGCCTAATACTTAAGTTAGATATTGAAAAGGCTTTCGACAACGTGAATTGGAGCTGTCTGTTTAAAGTTCTTACAAAGCTGGGATTTCAAGAGAAGTGGAAGAAGTGGATTCATGGGGCTGTTTGCTCTCCTACGCTTTCTATTATGATTAACGAAGAATCGAAAGGTTTTTTCCCAGCTCATAAGGGGCTCAGACAAGGGGATCCTTTATTCTCGGGGCTGTTTGTCCTTGTCATGGATATTCTTTCATTTATGTTGAACAGTCTCAAAGAGGGCGGAAAGATTGAGGGGTTTTTTATGGATGAAGAAGGACGAAGGGGAGAAGTCATTCGCCTTTATTCGTTGACGACACTCTCATATTTTGCGATTCTTCTCATGAATAGATCCTTCACATCACAGCCACCCTAACTTGCTTTCAAGCTATGACCGGCTTGAAGATCAACCTGGATAAGACGGTTATCTACACTGTGGGTGATGTTCCTGAAGCTGAATTCTTTGCTGATATTATTGGATGCAAGTGGAGATCTAGCCCACCGAAGTATCTTGGCTAACCGCTAGGGGCGAAGCTCAACTGCAGCTCCTTTTGGGACTCGATGGTGGCTAACTACCATAAAAAAAACTTCAAGGATGGAGCAACAAATACCTTTATGCAGGAGGTAGGCTGGTGCTTATCAAATCCGTTCTATCTAGCCTCACCACGTACTACTTCTCTCTGTTCAAAGCTTCGAAGAATGTGATTAGTAATCTTGAAAGAATGCAGAGGGATTTTCTCTAGAACGGAGCTGGGGATAAGAAGAAAATCCCTTTGGTAGAGTGGAAAGTTTTTAAAACTCCTAAGGAAAAAGGAGGGTTGGGTATCGTGGATCTCTCATCTTTCAACAGTGCAATGCTATGCAAATGGATATGGAAATACGTTGTGAACAGGAATGGTTGGTGGAGGTCTCTTATTGTGATCAAATACTTTGATGGTCAATCGGAGTGGCAAACTGGTGGTATCATGGGGAGGTCGTTCTAGTTCTGTGTGATGCAACATCATGCAGGAATGTGAGCTGTTTTGGAATTACGCCCATGTTGATCCCGGGAACGGCGCTAACGTCTCCTTATGGTTCGATCGGTGGATTCCAAACCTTACCTTCGCTGCCACCTTTCCACGTGTGGCCGCTGTTGCTTCAATTCCAGATGCCAGGATCAGTGACATCGTGAATCTCTCAGGTGATAATTTAAACATTAATTTAAACATTAATGTTCTTTTGAGAAGGGGTGCTGAACTTGAGAGGGTGAATATGTTGCATATTCTTAATTCTTTCGATTATCATTCCAGTGCTAATAGTTTGTGCAGATTAGTATGGCATCCAAATCCGGATGTTGGTTACTCAGTTAATTCAATGTACAAGGCCTTAGTGGTAGACAGGTTCCAAGGAGTTTCTGATTTCCCTTCTACTTCTGTCTGGAGAAAGATTG